ATTATGTAGGCTCTGATTCTCTCAGTTTCAACATGCTTCTTGTAGTTTTAGTGAAAATGCCACAGTTATATGCATCTATCCTTTGATTTTCAGGAAGCTGATGAGAGAGCCAAAGCACAAGCCAAAGCTGGATTTCCAGGTGGTATGCCCGGTGGGTTCCCTGGTGGTATGCCTGGTGGATTCCCTGGTGGATTCCCAGGCGGGATGGCAGGAGGAATGCCTGGTGGATTCCCAGGAGGAATGCCAGGAGGAATGCCAGGAGGAATGCCAGGAGGGATGCCAGCAGGGATGCCCGATCCAAGTTCTGTAATGTCTGATCCTGAAATTATAGCTGCGATGCAGGTTTGTAATGTAGTCTAAAATGTTTTAATTAATTGAGATTTGTTCCATGAGTCCAAGAACATGAAGCCCACCATTGGAGCAATCACTTTGTGTTTAACTACTATACTATAGTATGACATCATTGATGACATCATGCATGTATTATACATATATAATTTGTGATTAACTTACCGGTAATGTTGTGTACTCTCATACAGTAGTTACTTTGCACATACACATCATGTAGTAAATTACAGTCGTTGCATCATTCAATTCAAGATGGCCGAATAGTGGCAATTGTAATGATAAAAATACTTCAAAATCAAACATTTATGCCATACATACATTATGTACATTGATTATAATGATGTTTTCTTTGTGTTTCTCGCATATCATTTTTTGTTAGTCCCTGTTCAAATGAGTTTGAAATAGGGACTTATAATTCGGTCTTCATCCATCCACTATACCAGCCAATTATTCACTCTCAATTACTAACTCTGCTTTTAGTCCATATTACTTTATTTTTGGCACGAAGGACCTTCCCTCTAATTCCAACTAATTCCAATGTCATTAAAAATGACTTGTTTAATAAATGCTCTTCTAGGGCGTTCTAGGGCCTTATATTTGACATGCCTTGCCTTGAAACTTCACACATACATCATGTCTTTATCATGATGAAATTTGAGATAGCTGAATGGCAGCCATGTTAGTGCTAAAAAACCATCAAAATAACATTTCTGTCATTCCAGAATTGTATCTTATTTGTGCAAATTCTCATTTTTTTCATAATTATTGCTTCTTTTCTTGCTAGGACCCAGAAGTGATGCTGGCTTTCCAAGAGATCAGTCAGAATCCTGCAAACATGATGAAATACACCAACAATCCCAAAGTCATGAATCTGGTTGCTAAAATGCAACAGAAGATGGGTGGTCATGACGACTGTGGCGATGACGATGATTGTGGGCATTCACATTCAGCATAAACAAATCTGAAAATATGGAATCGAATTAATAATTTGAATAATCTTCAAAATATTTTTTTATTTGTGTGAGAAATTAAGGAAGAATTGTGGTAGTGTAAATCATGACTGCAAGTACTTTAACTGTACTGTTTACTAGACCATGTACTTGGGTATTCATGTTTAAAGGAGTTCTAGAAAGCTTCCTGAAGTCTGCATTTTTATTTTTTTTTCGTTTCTTATAGTGCATTTTTTCTTGCAGAACAACTAAATTTATGTTTACTGTCTTATCAGTACTTGGCAGAAAGTCTGAATAAATTTGCATAAAAAATTGAACCACTGCTATATATGGAATAATTGTATTTGCAACTTTCTAAATATGGTAGTAAGCCTATGCAATAAATTGGTGTACAGTAGTATGTTGATAGTATAGCGCACAGAAAATGTAGCGGTATGCATCCTTTATAGCCATTTACAGTGAAAAGCAGAGTTTTGTCATGTGGTTCTATTCTGTGCACATCATATATCTAACCAATAGCATCACTGATTGAAGTGTTCAATAGCATCACTGATTGAAGTGTTCAATAGCATCACTGATTGAAGTGTTCAATAGCATCACTGATTGAAGTGTTCAATAGCATCACTGATTGAAGTGTTCAATAGCATCACTGATTGAAGTGTTCAATTGCATCACTGATTGAAGTGTTCAATTGCATCACTGATTGAAGTGTTCAATAGCATCACTGATTGAAGTGTTCAATAGCATCACTGATTGAAGTGTTCAATTGCATCACTGATTGAAGTGTTCAATTGCATCACTGATTGAAGTGTTCAATTGCATCACTGATTGAAGTGTTCAATTGCATCACTGATTGAAGTGTTCAATTGCATCACTGATTGAAGTGTTCAATTGCATCACTGAAGTGTTCAATTGCATCACTGATTGAAGTGTTCAATTGCATCACTGATTGAAGTGTTCAATTGCATCACTGATTGAAGTGTTCAATTGCATCACTGAAGTGTTCAATTGCATCACTGAAGTGTTCAATTGCATCACTGAAGTGTTCAATTGCATCACTGAAGTGTTCAATAGCATCACTGATTGAAGTGTTCAATAGCATCACTGATTGAAGTGTTCAATAGCATCACTGATTGAAGTGTTCAATAGCATCACTGATTGAAGTGTTCAATAGCATCACTGATTGAAGTGTTCAATAGCATCACTGATTGAAGTGTTCAATTGCATCACTGAAGTGTTCAATAGCATCACTGATTGAAGTGTTCAATAGCATCACTGATTGAAGTGTTCAATAGCATCACTGATTGAAGTGTTCAATAGCATCACTGATTGAAGTGTTCAATAGCATCACTGATTGAAGTGTTCAATAGCATCACTGATTGAAGTGTTCAATAGCATCACTGATAGAAGTGTTCAATAGCATCACTGATAGAAGTGTTCAATAGCATCACTGATAGAAGTGTTCAATTGCATCACTGATAGAAGTGTTCAATTGCATCACTGATTGAAGTGTTCAATTGCATGAACAAACATATGCAAGATTATCGCTGCATTCAAAAATGACAAACTCTCTTATTACATGTTTTGCAAATAAGCAAAGACACTATGAAAAACAATCCAAGATGATCACTTGTTTCTATTAGTGCAACTTCACATTTCTTGTGAGATTTACATCGCTTATCACATACTTGCATACCCACATTTTTTCACTCCTTTTTAACTCAGACTGACTGTACTCTATTTAGTGCTACAATGTAACATATGAAAATATTGCTGATAACAATTTTGAAAATAAAACTTGGCTCCTCTATGAAATGCTTTTGCTTCAGTCATCCTATCTTGTTGAAAGTATTGTACTTTTGATCATGGTCTTGTTGAAAGTATTGTACTTTTGATCATGTTCTTGTTGAAAGTATTGTACTTTTGATCATGTTCTTCTCTTGTTGCTCAATGTTTTTTTTTGTGTCCTACCCAGATTGCACATTACATTCTTTACTCTTATCTCTTAATCATATTTTGTAAAAACTTTTCTTTTTAAGGAATTTAGTTTTCAATTTCATGATTTTTTGGTGATGAAAACAAGGCACCTGACAAATATTGCTATCCCACTGGGAATTGTATTAATTTGTGTTAGTGAATACAGTAGAGGTTTATTGCTCATCCCCTCCCTGCATAGTGTCCTACA